ATAAAATAAAATAAAATAAAATAAAATAAAATAAAATAAAATAAAATAAAATAAAGACTTTTAATAGGACCTATGCCATGGAGTTATTGTGAAAATCAGAAGGTCACTCTACATAAAGCTCTGTGAGAGGATTGGCAATTATTGTACAAAAATGTGTGCAGTTCTTGAATTCACAGAGACTGTGGCCTTGCAAACCCATGATTTTATAAAGGACAGTAGTTCTGTTAACAGAGATACTAAAAGGTCATCACATATACATTTTATTAGTATTTGTAAGTATAATAAAATTCTCTGTCGTCTTGCATAGAAATAGAAGCCATTTGATAGGTAGTAGATATATGATAGGTGAGTCCAACTAAAAAATGAAAAATTATGTAAGCTTAAGGATCTTAGTGACATTGATAAAACTGTCCACTAACATAGTGTAAATTAAAAGGCACTCTGCCCAAACCAGTCCAGTGAGATTTGATTTGACACGCTGACATCACTGGCAAGGTAAACTCGGAGAGCAAGGTGTGTTGCTGATTCTTAATGAAATAGCCTAAGAGTGAATCATGAGTCACTAAGGCTGGTTGACTCTGGGGACGGCCCAGCGCTGGATTATGAATTCCAATCTGGGCTGTGGACAGTTTGGCATCCAGGAAGCCAGGGTGACACAGGGACCAGAGAATCCTGTGTGTGCTGGCCTTTGCCAAGAGCCACCACAGAAAACCCAGAAGTGCTCATTCTGGAGGTCTCTGGATTTTAATTATTTTAAATTACTTACCATGCTTCTGGTTCTCTCAACACAAATCAAGAATGCACCCTTTCATTTTACTAATTACACTCAATTGTCAGATTTCAACAAGACATTATTTGTGACCTTTTAGCTTAAATGTTTTTTCATCATTAGCAGCAAAGCCCATAATGACAGACCCATCCTGTAACCTCCTAAAGGCCCTAGGGCACTAGGCGGGTTGACATCTGATAAACGGTTCTACATACAAGTAGAGCATCCCCCAGATGATGAAAAAGACAGAAGTGGCACACATGTGTTTCCTTCAGAAGTGAATGGAAAGCTAGCGCTACCTAAAGTGTAGCCTTAAATCTCTTACACACACATAAAGTAAAATGAATTTTATATCCCAATTAACTCAAATTTACCTTCCATTTCATTTGTGCAGTAATTAAGCACCTATCCCCAGTCATATAAGAAATGGTAATTAACCTCTTCGGAAAATGGTAAAGTGTTCCTAAATGTACAGTAACTCTTCTTCCCTGTCGCAGGGCTTTCCCTCAGGTACTTCAGCGCAATTATTCAGGTGATAGAGTTCCATAAAGGGAGATTTATGCCTAGGGAAAGTGTTCGCCAGTAACGCGAACCTTGCTTCTGCAATAGCAAGATAGAAAAGGCTCCGCTTCTCCCAGGATGGCAGGTTGAGCAACGCAGTTCTATATTTTGCCTTGACGTTTGCGTTACATCAGTTGATCTGCCCTGCTCTTCTATTTCAGCATTGCCACGACCTTCTGTTAGTGCACACTCTTCAGAAATGTTCCTCCAAGGCCAGATACTTTTCTTTGAACAATTCATTTCTAGTAACTTTTAGCAGTCCCGTTCTTTGAATCCTCTGTGAGTCCGCCCAGTCCAGCTTCCTTCCTGCTAACCTGCCCACCCACGGTATAAAGTCAGAATACCCATGAGGCCCTGTAAGGAGAACTGTACTTCTGCGAGGGAAGGAAAGGGCTTCCGCTTTGGGCATGTGTGCGTCCATCCCCAGCCACACTCATTTCATGCTGTGCTGTAGGGTGCAAATAACGCATCAGAGCTAATTTTCTCCCTTCAAAGTCTAAGTGGAAGAGTGAGCCGTATGCGTGGAAGAATCCGTTTCTCCCCAGAAACGGAGTCAGGGACCACAGGGAGAGGTTGCTGGAGGGGAGGCTGAGCAGAGGGGCGCGGTGCTGTGGTTCTCCACACCAGTGGCTGCTGCCTCCGTGGAAAGCCGTGCTGGTAGATTCGGTGTCTGTGAGTGAGGACACCACGGAGCCACAGGCATCTTCTCACCCTCATCACACCCACACCCTCCACCTGAGCTTCACATATTTGAAGCACAGACAGTTGTTAGCTCTCACAAATGCCTTAGCTGAGAGGGTGGTGGATACAACACTCCCTCCCAGCGTGCAGGAAGACTCCCAGCGGTGTGCAGCCCTGGTGGTGGCCTGGCCCCGTCTGCCAGGGCTTTGCAGTTAGTAGGGAGGTGGCGCCCACTCCCGCCTTCTGCCTGTTTCACTGTGTTAGCTGTGCTCACAAAATGCCCTAGACCCTAAACTGCGCAATGGCGTTTAGCCGCAGAGGTAAAAAGTACCGGCCTCCTTAAGCGAGGCGCTGCAGGGTGAGCCACACGCTGCACTCCAGGACGTCCAGAGACGGCGTTTATGATGGGGCTTCTCCCTGGTCGCAGTGGAACTGCAGGCGTGTTTGTCCATGACCGCAGGTGTCCCACCAAGGCAGCAAACAAAAAGGGATGCCTCGCGTATTATTCCTTTCACTTCAAAGGCTTTCTTTCTCAGTCCTGTCCCTCCGACATCTCCTCCTGACTTGGGCCCTGCTGCAAAGAAATTAAGAATGGAAACATAAATACTAAGTTAGAGCACAGCTGAACACCTGGAAGTTCAGCTGAACATCTGACAATGAAAACTTCAGCAAGTGCAGTGGCCTCCTGGTAACGACCCAGAGTACCCTCTGTCCACTGCGCCGAGGTGAAGAGCAGCAGGCACGGGCCCCCTGGCACCAAATCCACCTCCATGGCCCCACGGTGAGCCATGCTGTGCAACGCAGGGCCCGGCTCGGGTCTGCTGAGCGCCCGGCCGGCGCTCACCGGCCCTGCCGCAGGAGCTCCCTTGTAGAGGCCCGTGGCCGTTAGCGAACGGCCGCGGAGAAGCCAGCTGGACCCTGCCAGGGCAGCCCCGGGAGCGCTGAGCTACTGGAGGAGGCGGGGCAGCAGCTGCCAGCGCACGGAGCAGAGATCTCGCGCTCGCCTGTCTGCAGCAGCTGTGACACCTGGGTCCACGCTGCCCAGAAGTACATCACCTGAGTAACTGTGTTCAGGTGGGAAGACTATTTAAAATCACCAAACCAAGTTTTTTAAAGTTCAGGGGTTTTTGCTTCGTTTTGGTTTGTTGGGCTTTGTTTCATGCCTCAGCGCTGCCTCCCCCGGCTTCGGTGCAGCGTGAGAGAAGCCTAAGCCCCCACTTCCTGGGATGGTCCGGTCACACCCGGCTGGCGGCCAGCCGCCCCTGCTCCCCCGCCCGGGAGCCCCTAGAGGGACTCCAGCTGGCGACCAAAGCTGTTTCCTCTCCCTCGCTGTGGTGCGCACCTCACTGAGAGCCCCACTCAGGGGACACGGACGTGTGTGGTGGGGAGGAGGAGCTTTGGGAAAGGGCGTGGCCTGTGCCCGGCACGAGGACAGCCGCTGACTGCCCACACTCCGGGGGGTTGGGCCAACACTGCCTGTGAGAGGCTGACCTTTTCAGGGGAGTTTAGTGCGCCGGTGGGTCTACAGGCGTCATCTCCTGATCTCCTGTGCCGTGGGTGTACTTTTAATAATACCATCTTTTCAGTAGAAACTTACTTGGTATTAGACATTTGCATTGGAATCAAGCGGCCATGAAACATCCGTCCAGACAGGATTCTGTCAAGGATAACAGTCTTTCTCCCCTCCCTCCCTCCCTCTCTCCTTTTCCTTCCTCCCCTCTCCCTCCTCCCACCTCCTCCCCCCACTCTGCCTCTCCCTCTGCCTCCCCCTGCCCCCCACAAAACTAGACAAGCAAAATCTATGGGCTTGGCTAACGGCTCCCCCTAGAGGCAGGAGGATGCAACAGCTTGAAAGTGCGTTGATTTTTCCGTTCGGTCCCCGCAAAGTGGTGCGACGGTTCGGGAACTTAATTCTTCCCACAGTTCTGGTCACAAAGCAAACTGGATGAGCAATGAATCAAACTCAAGGTCGGGTTCAGTGCTGACTTTAAGGGGAAATCTGATCGGTTCTTGTCCAACTTGGCTTGTGACCAGAATGGTGGAAAGAATGAAGTTCATGAACCAAGGTGCCACCGCCTTTGATTTTGCGCTGTTTGTGTTATTTTGGCATTTTCTTGCTATTTCTCATATCAGCTTTCCTGCAAGTTAAAGCAAAGAAGGAATGTGAGGAGTTCCCTTCAAAAGTTTACTAAAGATAAGTAAAGCCTTCGCAGGATTAGAGCAAGAAGCAGGGCCGGTTCCTAGAATTTTGTATCTCAACTTCAGAGCCAAAGGCCTGCTCTGAATACCAACCCGGGAATAAACATCAGACAACTCGTGAGACTGTGCGATCATATCATATGTGTATAATTTCATCTGAAGAGAGATTTCTACTCTCTGTAGGGCCCCTAACACTTAGGTATCAAGATCTCTTCTCCAAGCCCCCACAGCCACTACCATCAACTAAACTTTTCCTAGTAATACTTCCAGTATTGCTCAGTGTTTAAAGTCCCACCTGGGAATTCTGATCTGCAGCAGCAGATGGAAATGCAGGTGTCTGCGTTTATAGTGACTCCGGTGGAGCCTCACCACAGAGCATCGGCCAGTCCTCAGGAATCGCCAGGGACGATGAGTGCATAGCGGTTTGGCCTTAAACCTAGATTTCCCCAGATGGGTCACGGTTGGATGACACTTCCTTTAGCTGCACAGTGTAGAAGAGAAAATAACGAGGGAAAGAACATAAGTAAAACACCCAGGTCACCAACGGAGCTAAGCCTCAAAACAGAGCTGACACAAAGGCCTGTGCCAGTGTGTTCTGCAGAAAGTAGCTGTGGATAGCCTGCAGCAGAACCGCTGGGGCTGCTTCTCAAAACTGTAGATTCTTGGGCCTCCCCAAGCGGAAACTGTGGGGTACACAGCAGACACCCGCCTCTGTATCAAGCAGCCCAGTGGTAAGGTACCCCGTGCAGAGCCAGGCAACCTTCCGATGCTGGAGGTCAAGTACAGGGTGCAGGGTGCCTGTGTGGGGGACTGTGTCTGGCACTGATGTTCTTTCCGCTGCAATCACGGAGCAAGCACGTGGTCTCAGGGATCACTCGGAAGGTTTGAGAAAGGGTCTGACAAAGGGCTTTCTGCTGTCTGGGGCCGGGCTCACATTCAGTTCGCACTGCTTCCAAGTCAAGAATTTGGTTCGCAGTGAAAAAAAGAAGGGGTAGGAATAGAATAAAAAGAGAAAGGGAATTTGTTTTGATTGACAAAAGGACCCAGACAAAAAACAGTGGAGCAGGAAAAAAACAAAAGGAAGAGAAACACCTGGCCCCAGCTCGCGCGCGCGTTCCTCAGGCTTCTGTGAAATGCTGCATCCAGAGATTAATTGCCACGTTTCCTGTTACATAACTGCTTAGCAGCAACTTACTTAAAAATCCTTGATGAAGTTAAATGCTTCTCTTTCTAAGACAATCCGTCCCAAAACTTCACAGCTGAAAATTTAGCTAGCCACCTTTCCCAGCTAACTGCATCCCACACAAAACTCCAACCATGAAGGAGCGTGAAACCCACGGCGCCCTCCGCGCTGGAAGCAGCGCGCAGCTGAAATAGCCCTCCCCGCCTCTGCGGGGCGCTGTCGCGGGGCGGCGGGCCGCCTCACACCTGTGTCTCTCCGCAGTCGCAGGAGGCGCAGGTGCTGAAGCAGCTGGCGGAGAAGCGGGAGCACGAGCGGGAGGTCCTGCAGAAGGCGCTGGAGGACAACAACAACTTCAGCAAGATGGCGGAGGAGAAGCTGATCCTGAAGATGGAGCAGATCAAGGAGAACCGCGAGGCGAACCTCGCCGCCATCATCGAGCGTCTGCAGGAAAAGGTGAGCGCGCCCGGTCCGCGCGGGCTGG